GTGTAAAATAAACATGCTTATACTTTAAATGACAACGTATTTTTCACAAATAAACAAATATTTAATAAAAATATAATTAAAAAGGAAGTAAACACTGTAACCAACAGGGCACTCAGTATTCTGGGAAGTTTGTGTGCATTGGGAATCACATTTTTTCAAATAAAGCCAAGGTAACACTCATTTTACATACAGCTCACAGTGAAAATGACATGAATATGGCAGTGGGCAAAAGCATGAAGTGCAGCATAATTTGAAATCACGAGTTTAAAGTTTGTCAATCGCACATCTGAAGCTGAACTCTCCTCCTGTCCGCATTCAGTTCACATGGATCGACCGTCATGCAGAGTACACGCGATCGTGCAGGATACAAATGCACACTTCATAAGATCTCACAGCTGGATTCGACTAAGTTTGCAAGGTTTTTGAAATTAGATGTTCATTAGTCATTCAAAGATTTGTTTAAATGATGTAAATGTGTATTTGCTGAATGCTGACGGTAAACGAGAAAGTATTATAATGTTTGCCTTTCTATTACTAACAATATAAAAGCAATCGTTATAATACTTTTTTATAGATTTAAAAAAAAAATTTTAACAGTTCTATCTGATTATTAGACAGACTTCTGTTCGTGGACAGAACTGTTAACGACGACAGCGAACAAGAGGGGGAATGTGAGCACTGTGTGTTCAGGCGCTGCCGCAGCCGTTCTCAGCGCCATCAAAATAAAAGTCCTGCCGATGCCGATATTTGAAAAATGCCAAATATCGGCCGATATATCGGCCTTGGCAATATATCGGTCGACCACTATTCTGGACATCTTTCTAACTTTACGCAATTACCGATGAGCCACATGCCTACAAAGACCTTATGCCAGCAGCTTATTACACTTCATAATAGTTCAGCTACACTTGAAGAAATCGAAATATATCGCTAGAAGCACCTATTAATTCATTATAATAAATGAGCAATGTTTACTTTTCTAAATGATTCATTACACAGTGGAGCTCTGCTATAACAGCAGATTTACAGTTCTACCAAACGCTGACTGAACTACAGGCACAATAATTGAAGCTACTAAAACACAAACTCCAGTGTGTGACTAAGCATTTATATAGAAAAAAATCCCATTATTTTCAGAAATCATTAAAACATGCTGATTTAGTGCTCAAAAACATTTCTTATTATTATCAATGTTGAAAACAGTTGGGCTGATTAATATTTTTTGTGGAAATTGTGATAGAATGTTTTGATGACTAAAACATTGAACAGCATTTTAAACGGAAAACGTTTGTAACATTATAAATGTCTTTACGGTCACTTTTCATCAGTTTAAAGTGTCTTTGCTAAATATTAAAAAATCTGAATGATGAATATCAATCAAAACTGCATCTGAACTTAAATATATGTATGTACAATATAATACTTAACTCCCAATGACTATATTTACAACAAACTAAATTACAACTAGTAATTTAACCAGACTATAACCACAGCTACTCATAAACTACAGTGTCTAAATTTAGTCATAAAGTAACTTGCCTTTCATAGACTTAAACTATGTGGGCTCAAATTACAGAAAGTCATAAGCTACAACAACTCAAATCACAGCTAATTTTTAATAAACTCAAATAAAGCAAAAATAATTACTACTAAACAACAAAAGTAATATAATAAATTAGAGCTAATAAAACTGGGCCAGAAAGACACCATTTCTGGTGATATGAAATGAAAATACTTGGGAGAAAAAAAGAGAGAGAGAATTGGTTCCTGGTGCATTCTGGTGCATCGTGCTGCAGCATCATGGGAATATAACAAGCGCTAGCCGAGAAGGAGATCCCCAACACACACACACACACATAAACACTATGCACACGCTTTCTCAAACTCACACTTAAACACTGTGTTTAACACAATGACAGTGTACACAGGAAAAAATGGAGAGAGATTGATATAAAGAGACGGAGAGGTGGAGCTCTTTCCTTTGCTCTGTCAGCTTTAGCAGGTTAAAGCATCATCTGATGAATATATTTTTCTCTAAATATCTTTCTTTCCTGGTCTCTCATCTACTGTCTCTATCTCCAAAGGGTTAAAGGTCAGTGAAGAGGGGTCACAGTGACATAAAACTCCAGAAACCTACTATGAAGGAGAGAGAGAGAGAGAGAGAGAGAGAGACAAATTATGTATATCTACCATGTGCTGACAGCTGACCTTTCTTAAAGCAGAACAGAAGGCTGGATAACTCCATATAATCTAGTTGGTTAGCGTACTGGTTAGGGTTGCCAGTGATTTAAACCCTGCTTGTGGCAACGGCAGGTGCTTGGTTATGCCTTTACTCAACTTTCTCTCTGCAAGCAGTCCATCGGCTCGACCGTAACTGAGGAATGGTGCCTGCTATTCGTGTACTAGGGTTGTCATGATATCTTCATCACACAAATAAATACATGAAACATACTGCAATAATGAATAAAAAATGTGAAAAAAATAACTTTTTTAAATCTTTAAGTTTTAAAACACTGTAATACTTTTAAAACTATTTAAACTAAGTTCATACAGCACAAGGGTTGACACAAAAAACTGACAAGTTCTGCAATGTGACACTATACTCCATTTAAAATTATTTTATTCATTATGATGCTTGCATGTTTTATATCTAATTTTAATTCAGAGACTACTTGCAATATCTGGAGTTTAAAAATTCATTGGTCTCACCACAAGACCACTTAAGAAGGGGAAAAACGGAATTAAAATTGCTGAAACACTTCATGACCACACAAAAACTAAGATATACATATTCCCTTAAATATTAATATAAAGTCTAACCAAAAATCTTGATGTTAATTAAACAAAAAGTCCATGGAAATATTATGTATCAGCTACTCACATACTCTTACACATAGACCGTGGGTGGGTTGGAGTGTCATGTGGAATATGCTGTGAATATTCTTACTGTACTATTAATACCCAGCAGCATATCTGGACCAGCAGCCTGTGTGTTACTGAATTACTGGATCTCTTTCCCAATCTCACATGAATGAACTAAATTTAATTAAATACCAACATTCCTGAGAGAAATCTCAGACCCCCTCCCTACACCTCTATGGAGTGACTGTGTGTGCTTAAATACAGAAAACGTATGTATGTAAAAGTGATTAAATTGCATACCACTCATACTGGAAGGCACAAACGATTTAGAAGAAAGACAGAATAGAAACAGCAGGAAATAAGTCTTTGCAACTTCCGGCACATGTGCCCTTCTATTACAGCCATTATAACACAGCATCACATGACCAAATGCATGAGCAAATCTGACAAACTAAACATTCACGAATCTTAAACTTAAAACCCCAACTCCTCAACTACGTGCATGCATCCTTCCAGTGGCCCCAAAAACTATTTGGACACTCAAATTGCACTTAGAAATCCAAAAATAAGAATAAGTAATGGCAAATTGGCTCAGAAAGGTGAAGTTGGTTAGCTTTAGCATCATCTGTTTGCAGGTGACACTTGGTTTGACATTTGCAATGACATCTAATGCAATGACATTTCAAAATGTATCCAAAAACCTCCAAATACTTTTTGGGTCCACTGTATATTTTAAGGTTCATAAATCTCACCTTCTTTACCCTCTGGACTTGTAAAAAGGGAATAAATGTGAATAAAATAAAGCATATTTACCAGGTCTCGTCGTTTTTGAACTCTAGCTCTCCATACGCGTCCTCAAAGTCCTCTCCACCGCCCTTAGCGAGTCCCTCCACTGTGTGGAACGGAATGATGACCGTCCCTCTTGCTCCTGACGTCCGCAGCACTTTCACTTCCATGATGCCCACACTCTCACTCACGTGCATGGACTCGCTTTCAAAAGTGAAGATGCCTGCATGGTCATCGTCGAGGATGGTAACCGTGGCAACAGCAGGGAATACTATCAAGGCCTTTGGGTACGGCAGGCTACTGGGCGACAACACCTCATCCTCAGTCTCCAGAACACGGACGTTACTGAGCCGCACAAAGAAATGCTCATCCTCTTCAAAGATGTCGTCATCGATGATGCCAACAGTGATCTCCTTGACGACCTCACCAGGTTTGAACACCACCATGCCCTCGGTGAACTCATAGTCCGCACCGGCGTTCGCCGAGCCATCTTCCGTTTTATAATCCACATATATTGTCTTTGCGATGTCGCCCCCTTTACGCACTATTGTAAGCAGAACGGCTCCACAGTTCTCCAGACACTGGTAAATGGCAGGCTCGAACATAATGCGGGACACAAACTCCTCAGGTTCTTCTGCGTTTACTTCTTGAACACTAGTGCTGCGTTTGGCCTGCTCGGCCACATGCTTCTTGAGGATGTTCCCGGCGCCGGTCATCATCCTCGTGGCCTGGATACGATAAAACGCTCTGCTTTTCTGTTGGTGTGACAGTGCATAATAGTTGGCCATCTCCACCAGCTGGTCAAGCTCCTTCTCCGGGTGTTTCTGCTTCAGGTCCTTCAGGATACGGATCATATCTCTGCGAGAATCGTCTACCTCCTTGCCCTCAATCAGGCCCATCAAATTACTAGCAGCTCCGCCATCGACAAAATGAGAATTCATCATCTTTCCGTCCATTTCGATACCTTTTGAACGGTCACCCTCTGTCTCAATAATGACGCCTCGGTGCTTGTCTGTGCGATATTTCTTGTGCATAAACTTGTAGAAGAGCAGGCGACGGTCAGCCACCCAAGCTAGAATGACACAGATGGGGAAGAACGCCAAGGTGAGAAGCCCTTCCCATACTTGGACTACGTTGGGTGAGAACACAGCCAGGATCATGTAGAGCCAGATGTAGGCAAATATGCTCCACGCCGTTGTCACGAAAAACACACGCAAGTGTTTTACCTTCCTGACCTCCCCTTCCGGGATCACCGACACGCACAGGCCGATGATCACAAACATGTTGAAAGCGGCGCTGCCTACGATGGTGGACGGGCCAAGTTCGCCAGCGTGGAACTCATGCCCGCAAACCTCGATAACAGAGAGAAGGATCTCAGGGGTAGAAGAGCCCAACGCCATGAGTGTGAGGTTAGACACGGTCTCGTTCCACACTCGGATTGTTGTTGTTGTAGTCTCACCATTTGGAAGCTTGATGATTATTTCCTTTTCCTGGGAGGTGATGACTTCAATGGCGGCCATGAAGCGATCCGCAATAATCGATACCCCCAGGAACATGTAGATCATTGCCACAAAGTACACAATGACCCTGGCGATCTTGTCACCCATGGAAGGGTCCTCGGGGTACCAAATGGGTAAGATGATGCCAGGCTGGCATCGATCTGTCTCCCTGATGCATGTGATGTTATTCGAGAGGGACGGGCTTGGCGTGACACCCGCCTCTGCGCAGAAGAAGGTTGCTGCCACGGAGACCAAGCCCAACCAGAGGTAGGCAGAAGTCTTTGTCCTTGAGCGATCCATGCACCCTCTTTCACCTCAAGGGTCTGTGATCTCTAGCTGTCCTTCGGGAATCCAGCACTGGGCTGTCTTTGGTTCCACACGCCACCTGTGAGAGAAGAAATGCAGGGAGTGAATCAGAGAACAAGAAATCAGTACTTAACTAATCAAAACACCTTCCTAATAGCAGAGGAAGACACCTGACATGGGATTATGAGCATTGCACAAGTAATGTAAACTAACCCATTTGAGAATTCTGCAAATAAAGCCATAATACTTTGTTAGATTTGCAAGAAGTGCATGTGTGTGATATAATATGGTGAAATACTAAAGGTTCACACAGCAAAAAAACTAAAAGCAGGGTTGCGGCAGGATTTTTAAGCTCAAATTTAAGACTTTTTAAGACCATAAATAAAATTAATACCATATGAGCGGGGTGGGGCATTGTCTATAGAAAACTATTAAACTGTAAAATTACTGTAAAAAGCATGATTTACAGTTCAGATACAAGTTTTCACAAAAACAAAAATGTTGTACAAAATGATACACTTCACATTTCAGCCTTTAAACCATTTTTAAGAAAATGGATGAGTCAAAAGTATGAATTATTTTCATTAAATTATTATATTATTTAAATAACATACAAACACATTTTACTGTTTAGATTTTTAAGAAGATGAATTATCTTCTTATCGATCCACCAGTTCACATTTACAGCTCTGCATGTTTGCAGGGTAAAAACATGGGTCGATTTTCGTATTGGTCTGAACAAAAACAACTCAATGTTCCTGCAATACCGGAGGCTGTTCTAGGACCGCATTTCTAGGACCCTATTTTTTTGGGACAGCGCCATCTAGCCAATTCTATTCCAACAGAGGAGACCTGATTTAAACATCAATCAAACAGATGCAAAGAAGACTAGATCCAAGGAAACTATTAATTTTTTATCTTTCCATCTTATTTTTAATGTAAGCGCTAGAGTGAACTTGAGTGTTCGAGGGGTTGTCACCAATCTCTACAGCCTATTTAGCTGTGCAAAACAGTTAATTGTGCTGCTGGATGTTGTAAATTAGTATTTGTATTCAAATTATTTTACATTTATTAAAGTACTAATAATCACACTAATTTGTACCGCAATTGTTTTACCGTTTACTGCACTTTAAGTGGGTTTAGGCTTAGGAGTTGGTAAGGACAATAATTAAGTGTATACAATTAAACAACTACATAATTCCTTAAAAAATAAGAATATACAGAATTGAATAGCAAGAGCTATAAAATAGTATGAGCCGCTAATACATACATTCATACAAAAAATAAATAAATAAAATAAAATATATTTTTTTTAAACTATAAGGTCCTAGAAAGGCGGTCCTGAAACTGCAGCCTCCAGTATTGCACAATAGCCTTATTGAAAATGCACATTCATTCTCTGCCAGCAGGAGGAACTTTCGGAACTGTTTCCCCAGTAACAGCAGAACACAAAGCAGCGAAATGTGCAGAGCTCCTGTTTATTTCATAAAATCATAGCCTTCTGAAGTTTAATCGTCACATTACGCTGTATCGCAATTCTGGTCTGTACCCAAATTTAAGACCTCTTGAAATCATAATTAAGACTTTCTTGTACAATTTAAGACTTTTTATGACCTTAAATATGAGTAAGTAACGAGTAAGTAAGAGAAAGTAAGTACTTTAATTTAAATAACGGTGCATTCCAAACGGGATATATCGCCCTCCGAAGAGCACTTCAGAGTGAAAACAATCATGGCCACCATATTGAAGGGTCGTTCCAAACCGAACTGCTCAAAACTAGCCACTTCAAAGGGCCCTTCGGAATGAAGGATTTCGAAGGGTACAACTGATGGACACTTCGGGCTCCCATGATCCTTTGCGCAGATTCTTTGCATGATGACGGCGCCTCCGTGTGGGCACGTGATAATGACGCACAAGGGCACTTCAAGGAACAGTTGTTTGGTCCCCTACACCCCTCAACCCTTCGAAGCTCTCACTCCGGAGGGTAAACCCTTTGAAGGGATTAGGGCATAGGGATGAGCCCTTCCAAATGGAACGCAGGGTAAATGTAAGACTTTTTAAGGACCCGCGGGAACCCTGAAAAGCCGTCACTCAGCAGGTGTGAATGTTGCCAGAATAAGCAATGTCCAAAACGACGCACAGAAACACATCAACAACAGAGCAAGGGCAGCGTGTTGCTCTGTTCCAACATGTTGCCTAATTTGAGGTAGCATTGTAAGGCTCCTGTTTCAAAAGGCAATTTAATCCTAAACTACCTTTTTTGGGGAAATTGGTTTGCCCTCAATGAAAAAATAAACCCAAGCTGGTGGATGATGTTAAATAAATACTGAAAAGAATTATAAAAATGGTTCAGGGTAATACACATTTTTGTGTATTTATTTATAGAGTGTATTATAGATTGTATTGTGCATTTTTATGCTGTTGTTAGCTTAGCAAAATGCTAAAGCCAAAGGCTGTTTAAATAAATTTAGCTTTTAGTGTAAGGAGTGGCACTCAGAGTTGGTGTCTATGTGGAGTGTGACAAACCAGACAAAGAGACCCAAAAATGTATATTCTATACATTATTTACTCAAACTCATGTAGCTCTAAACTTGTATGGAATTTTATCTTCCGTGAAATACAAAAGAAGACATTTTGAAGATCTTCTCATGTTCCACAGAAGAAAGCAAGTCACATAGGTTTAGAACGACAAAAGGGTGAATGCTACCAATGTAGGCAGAGGCAGCTCACTAAGCTTTGTAACAGATCTTCTGTATGTCTGTTCTGGAAATGAAATGTATGCAGGTTTCACCCAGAGGGCTGGGAATAATTAACTAATATGGACACAGATTATTTCATTACATTTTTATCCCACTGCACCAGTGGAGATCAGAGTGTGTATGTGGGAGTGTGTGGAAGCAGCTCTGGTGAATCCACATGGAGATGGAGATGATGGCTGTGTGTGTGTGTGTGTAGTTCATTTGCTCTTTCTCTAACACAGAAATGTACCCAGAGACAATTTTTATTGCTCAAGGGGTTGCTCTTTGAAACTCAGAACTCTGAATGGATGTCTCATTAAAGTATCAACTATGTCTCATTTTTCTTATCAAATTCCTTAGGAGAAAAAAAAATTGACTCAAATACACCACTGTTGAAAAATTTGGGGTCTGTAAGGTTTTTTTAATCCGAATTTTTAAAGGAAATTAATACTTTTATCCTGCAAGAATGCATTAAATTGATCAAAATGTACAGAGATATTTATAATTATTTGAACTCTGATTTTTTTACTTTTGAAGATTTTGAACTTTTGTATTTCATAATGAAAAAATACAAACGTATTAATCAGCATAACTGCTTTAAACATTAATAATAAGAAATGTTTCTTGAACACCAAATCAGCATTTTAAAATGATTTCTGAGGGATCATGTGACACTGAAGACTGGTATAATGTTCGCTTAAAATGCACCTTTGCCATCACAGGATTGCAAATATATTAATGGGAAAACAGCTATTATAAATTTTAATTTATTTGAATAATACTACTGTTTTACTGTATTCTTGATTAAATAAATGTAGCCTTGATGAATATAAGAAACTTCAAGTATAAGAGATTTTAAAAGACATTTAAAAAATATTACTGTATATACAGCATATTTCAGATAATTTGGTCTTGAGAGAATCTGATGAGAGATGTTTGAGTTTGTACTGATTCTCGGAGACACATGTGATGTGATACCTTAATTTGTGAAAAGCCTGCATTTAATCCTAATTATTTCTTTCTACAAATTAGTAAGAACCACCATTAAGTAACCAGAATCTTTAAATATTTTATGATTCCTGCAACTACTGTAACATTCAGGAAGCAGTTTAAATACGTTGCATGATCAAACTCCAAAAAGTCATAAACCCAAAAAAATGTTGCGAGGCAGATGCAGATGAGCATAAGTGGACTATGCAAGAGCCATCAGGCCAGACCAGATTATAGTGAGTAAAACAAACACTCTCACAGTGGGCTGTAAGTAAACAGCACAGTGTAGAAACAGAAGGCCTAATGAAGAAAAACTGTTTTGTAAAGCAAAAGAGCCCAGCCTGAAGCCTTGAGCTGCCCTAACTCTCCCTCCTCTCTGTCTACACTACATATATGACAATAAATGAAGGGTGAAAGAAGAGAGGAAGAGGAGGAAGCCTGTAACCACATGATGTGTTATACTGTGTTAACAGACACAAACTTTACACATAATTACCGTGGATGGTAATTACAGATAATTACCATCCACGTCGGCTCATGCGTCAGCAGCACCACACGCATGCGTCGTGGTACTCTCATGGTGAAGACTGACAACGGAAGACAAGAAATTGTTGAATAAAATCGTTATTTTTGGTTTCTTTGAGCTTCAAATAATTTTTATAATTTCTGTGTTCTTAATTCATATAATTAAGGTTAAACCACTGATGTCACTATATTTTAACAATATCCTTACTGCCTTTCTGGGTCTTGATCGTGGTAGTACCCTTGCTGTCTATGCAGGGTCAGAAAGCTCTCGGATTTCATCAAAAATATCTTAATTTGTGTTCAGAAGATGAACGAAGGTCTTATGGGTTTGGAACGACATGAGGGTGAGTAATTAATGGCAAAATTTTCAGTTTTGGGTGAATTATTCCTTTAAGTCTTGCAGCTGTATGCTCAAATCAGCCAAACAAGTCCAAATTATTTTCTGTGGTAATTAACACTGTCACAGATGCTGTTAAAAGAGCTGAAGTGAAATGTTATGAAGCTGAAATATTTAAACATGGATAGAGGGATGCTTCAAAGCAGGGCCGCGGTTGTCTACCACGCAGTTAAATAGGATTTCCTGTCTGTTGTGTATGTATGTATGTGACATGTGCCTGTAACTAGAAGTTAGGGAAATAGCACGCCGATTGATTAAAGATGATTAGATTTAGACTGATGCAATTTATACTGTGTGTGTGTGTGTGTGTGTGAGAGAGAGAGAGAGAGAGAGAGAGAGAGAGAGAGAGAGAAACCCACTATTGATAAGTTAGAGAATGTGGGATAAATTAGTCACACAGCAAATAGTGGGTTATAACTGGTGTAACTC